AATAACAACAAGGTGGACGAGTTCCCTAACGGTTATGATGGTATGTAATTACTGTGACATCTTCTTTGATGACAAACTACCGAGTTCCGTTCATTGTGTGGTTTCTAACATAACTTTCAAGGATTGTCCGCTCTGCCCGTGAATTCAGTCTCTAACACAAAAGTGATATTGAATAACGAAGTCATCGAGGCACCAGCCACGGAGATTCCCCCTACATCAGCGGCTTCCGTTTATACGCTAACACCTCCGTCTGCCCCTCCGACTACCATCATCATGTCGTCGGTCTCGCCACTCACACTTCCGCCATCTCATCCATTATGTGCAGTAACAGGTCGTGTATCTAACTTTATTCCAAAATATAAAATTTGTCACAAATGGGTTAGCTATAAAATGGAATCCTCAATAAAAACTAGCATACCTTCCGTTTCCTTCCTTTTCACAGTGTAGTTTGGTAAGCAACTTCCCGTCTTTCTTTCGTCGGCGGACGAGTTAAAGTGGTTTAAAAACATGCATCTAGTCTTGGGAATGTGACAAAAAAACTCGACCTTTCTTTTTTTTTCACAATTCCAAACAATAACTTTTCATTTCTACATGAAACTCAATAGGAAAACGATAGTGGAGTAACATTTTTGTTTGAAAGATTTTCTCCTTAGACTTGTCTAATGCTGTTTGTAATTCCAGAATCACCTTCAAGTTCATCCTTTTCGTCAACTGGACCTGTTGCTCCACCCACAGATGCACATGGACCACATGATATAGAATACGCCTTGCCGAAAACCAACTTGATAGGCAGTGTTGACGGTGCGGTTATGTCACATAAGGAAGTTTGTAGGCCGTGCGAATCCGATTCCACACCTACAAACTCTGCACCTGCTACACTTGCACCAATTGCACCACTTCCATCACTGTCTGCTCCTATACCACTTCCACCATTACCTGCACCAACTGCACCAGAACCGCCAGTGCCTGATTCTGCTTCAGTCCCACTAGGGACAACTCAGTCAGCAGCACCTTCAACTCCCGAACATGTTCCCTTGCATCCAGCACCATACCAACAGCCAAACCCAGACCCAGGATCGGTGCTCCTTGAAATTCCACCTTCTCCTGTGGTAGCAGAACCAGCACCGGAACCAGTAACAGTCAGAACCACCGAGATCAAGGTGGAACCAGCAGTTATGCCAGGTTCAAACGAACTTGAAGAACCTGCTCCTGCCCCTATATCATCTGCTGACAATTCCGCCTCATCTGAATCTGTGGTTCTGCCTGATATTACTAAATCTGGCCCAAACAGCTCCGTACCCGAAACACCAGCACAAGCATCAGAATCAGTGCATGAGTCTAACAAAGAAGATGGCAGCGAAGAGAATAGCAGCAGTGAAGAATGTGAGAATTTTGTTGTTCCAGAATCCCTTGGGTTTTCAAATGCAGGCGTGTAGAGCTCCGCTACATTGACATCTCAAGAAATGCAAAGAATTGTTTGTACCACACAGAATTGATACTTCTGAGAGAAATCGGAACACATATTTGCTACAATCGGTAGTGAAGCTATAACTTGCCAAAAACATCCACACCACCTACACAAAAATTCTCTAAATCATATTACCCTAATTTCACGCATATTAAGCGCACTTTTTCGATTTTTCAAGCAAGCCTTTCAGCTGCT